CTTATTGCTCTTGCAAGACTTTCAAGTACTATGTTAAAGAGAAGTGGAGATAGTGGACACCCTTGTCTGGTTCCTGATTTCAATGGGAATGCTTCCAGTTTTTCTCCATTTAGAATGATGTTGGTGTCGGTTTGTTATATACGGCTTTAATTATGTTGAGGTATGTCCCCTCCAGTCCAATTCCCTCTAGGACATACATGCATGAACATAAATGCATGTTGAATTTTGTCAAAGGCCCTCTCTGCATCTGTTGAGATGACCATGTGGTTCTTGTCTTTGAGCCCATTAATATGATTTATGACATTTATTTACTTAGGTATATTGAACCATCCCTGCATCTCTGGAATAAAGCCGACTTGATCATGGGGAATGATCTTTTTTATGTGTGTCTGTATGCAGTTTGCTAGTATTTTGTTGAGAATTTTTGCATCTGTGATCATTAAGGATATGGGTCTGTAGTTTGCTTTTTTGGTTGTATGTTTACCTGGCTTTTGTAGTGGAGTGATGCTGGCTTCATAGAAGGAATCTGGAAGTTCTCCCTCCATTTCTATGCTTTTTTTTTTCTAGTCTTTTTGAGATAGGGTCTCTCTATAGTCCCAGCTGTCCTGGAACTCACTGTGTAGACCAGGCTGGCCTTGAACTCACAGAGATCCGCCTGCCTCTGCCCCCCAAGTGCTGGGACTACAGGCGTGCACCACCATGCCTAGCCATTTCTATCTTTTTTAATAAATTAAGTAGTATTGGATGTAGATCCTCTTAAAATGTCTAGTAGAATTCTGCTGTAAATCATCTGGTCGTGGGCTTTTTTATTACTCGGGATATTTTGTATTACTGTTTCAATTTCCTTGTGTGTTATGGGTCTGTTTAAGCTGTTAATCTCTTCTTGGTTTAGCTTTGGTGGTTCTCACGCTTTTAGGCATCTGTCCATTTCTTTTAAGTTTTCAAATTTAGTAGCGTATAGGTTTTTAAAGTGTTCCCTTATAATGTTCTGGATCTCTTTGGTGTCTCTTGTGATGCTTCCCCTTTCATCTCTTATTTTATTAATTTGGAGGTGCCCTTTCTTTCTTTTGGTTAACTGGGCTAGTGGTCTGGGCTAGTGGTCTGTCAATCTTGTTTATCTTTTCAAAGAACCACCTCTTTGATTCGTTGATTCTTTGTTGTTTTCTTTGTTCGATTTCATTAATTTCTTCCCTGATTTTTGTTATTTCTTCTTGTGTGCTAGGTTTGGGTTTCATTTGTTGTTGCTTTTCAACTGACTTCAGTT